CGGGGCCAGTTTTGCAATACTCTCCCCCGAAGGTGCTCTTTAAGAGAGGTTTTGAAGGTAAGTATAGTACATATTCTGAGTGACAAGCTTACAGTTAGACACAACACTGTCATTGCAAGTGACCCTCAGTTAGTTGACTTTTATGTTCAACTGCTAAATTCGTTACTGATAAAAAAAAGGGCTTCTACTGTACCTAATTACCTTAACACTAGAACCGCCAGAGGTTTTTGTATAGGCCTACCTAAAACCGTCAAATCCCGCTATTAGAATGCAATTTTTAACAACATAGGGTGCTACATAACACACTTTCAGGAAAAGTCACGGACTGGGAGACTTTAATATTTTATTGAAAAAAAGTTACATTGCACACACACAACACACATCACACAAATTGACCCGATTGGCGGTTCTAGTGTTAAATAAACTCACTAATTAATGAAACCAGTTCAATACGCATTATTCTTATTCGCATCATTCTTTATGAGCGCAGAAATAGTCTTAAAATCAGACCTGTTTTTTAAATGAAATCTGACGGCAGGCAGTTAGCTCTGATCACCTATGATAAATGCGCCACACCTAATCGCTGGCCATTCAGCCACAGAGCTCCCTCTATACAAATCAAACTGTAGACGGTGTGAAAGCACCTATTGTTTTAAATAATGGTCAGAATGTGACCTGTGAGCCTTCTGAATTACCGTGGGACAGCACATTCTAAACTAAAATGTTCAATCAATAAAGTAACATCTTATCTTATCTTAATAATATCTTCATATTAATAATAATAATAAATCATACAGTATGTGTCCGAAAGGGAGCAGGAGGAAGCAAACACAAAAATATACAAAAAATATACTGCATATTAAAGCAAACGATTGTAAAGGTAAAAGTATGAGCATAACAAATAAAGAAGTGTAATGTAAACATTCACATTATTATTATGATTATTTAATATATGAAGACTATATATTATTGAATTACAAGATTAGATATACTTTATTTGATCTAAAATATTGATGTGTTCAAATGTTCTTCAAAACACAACTGAAAGTCCATGAAACTTGTCTTTCTGTATTTGTGAATGAAGTGCCATCTCCTGGTTAAAACCTGAAATTGAAAATCTGGCAACGACCTCTTGGAAAATAGTGGGAGGGCTGAACATTCCTCGATACTGGTCTTAGGCAGGTCGTAGGCAGGAAGCTGTAAACTGGAGTCTAAAATGAGGTGCTACATCTGTAGTGTAATATTAGAACTTAGGTTTCCGGGAGCTGTTGATAACACTATACTGGTCAAAGGCAAGAGGTCATTAATTTTGTTTCTAAGAGTAACAATTTTATCGTTAAAAAAGCACATAAAATCATTACTACTGAGTGCTATGGGAATAGAACGCTCAATCGAGCTGTGGCTCTCTGTTAGCCTGGCTACAGTGCTGAAAAGAAATCTTGCATTATTCTTATTCTCATCTATTAATGAAGAGTAGTAGGCTGCTCTCGCTTTACGCAGTGCTTTCTTATATTCATTGAGAGTAATATGCCAAATTAAACGAGATTCTTCAAGTTTAGTGGAACGCCATATCCTTTCAAGTTGTCTCGACTTTTGCTTTATTTTGCGGGTATGTGCAGTACCACGATTAAGGATCTAACCCTCATCCTGAATTTCATTTCCCCCAGCTCCATGTATGACATGAGGAGAGTCAATGTACAGTTTATGCAAATCCGGCAAAATAACAGTCCAATGCTACCGTTTCTGTATGTTTCCGAGTTTTCCGATTCTCTCTGAGCTATCTGCAACGCATCTCCGACTTCAATTCCTTCTTCCGGTCTGCAATCCACGTCACGCCAGCCCGACTCGCTCAATCCAGCCCGGACGTTGCATTACCGCCTACTAGCCTACTGGATAAATAATAAAACCGCCCTTTCTTCGTTACTGTACTGTACTTATACATCTTTTTGGTATCAATACTTCACTTCGTACTCCACTACTTATTGTTCTGAGGACTTTTTACTTTTACTTCTTACATTTGTAACACAAATACCTGTAATTTCTACTTCTTACATTATTAAAACAGGTTTGTTACTTTAGTTTTAATCTGTATTTGGTGGCATGATCATTATTATTTAGAGTCTTCAGCGTTGCTGACATTAACAGTTTCTAATAATAGGAAAAACAATAATATGAAAAGTGTTAAAGTTTATTGAAATGGTAAAACACAGTGGAATATTTTCTTTTTAAAGACAGAAACTTAAGAAACTATTAAGGTGAAGCTTAATCTAAGACGATAAAGGACTGTTTATTTACCAGATCATCCCCTCAAACAGGTTGTGAATGATGAGGTGAGACTGAGTCACCACGATCAGCAGAGTCACATGAGCCCAACCAAACTGTGGAGACAAAAAACATCATTAGGAAAATATGTTTACAATAATTTGCCTGACAATCAACCCAATTATATTCATGAGGGTCCTTGTTCCAAATATGTATTGATAGATTTGATGATGGTACAAAAACATTATGATGTAAGTATTTTTTTGTTTTGTTTGTATTGCTCCGCTTGCAAGGTTGGATGAACCTTTATCAAACACTTCTTTTTTTGAAGGTATCACAGTTTCTTTCTTGTTAATTTACAACTTTATGAGTTATCTCACAGACTAATACGCCCTTCCGCTGGCTTTCAACCAACATAGGCCCTCAAACACTGTGATATCCTTCTCTATGTGAACATAGAACCTGGATTATGACCAAAAATCACAGGAAGTGATGTGTCGTGTACGCTGAGTTGATCTCATCCGCTTCACAAATGTTGTCTTAGATGATTGCTTTCCCTTTGATTTAACAGGCACTGATTTTTCTGCTTGAATATTTCTGTCTGTGAAAGACTTGAGCTAAGTTTATAAGTGTTTAAATCTGCAGGGTATCTTCCAGTCGTCTTATTAATAAATGTCAGACTTGCAGTGTGGTATAAAAGGCAAAATAACAAAAGTGAGTCTCTTTCTCTTTTCTGACTTTTTTTTAATGGGTATTTCACTTTATATTAAATACATAACAATAACAGTGCAGAACATCTAACCTCACTATGAATCCAGAACAATACACCCGCAGGAGTATGGATAAAGCGAGAGGTTTGCATGCATTTTGAGCAGATTTGGGCAGAATCCAGCAGAGTGGATCGTGATGTTCATCCTAATGTCTATGTAAAGAAAAAAAGTCTAAATATTTAAAGATAAAAGCTGTGAAACAATCTCAATAATTGGCAGCATGCTGAGATAGGAAGTTTTAATATCTTAAGAGAAGAGCTTGGATATTAAAAGATACAAAATACAAACTCTTTTGGCTCCTTCCTGTCTTTCTACTGGGTCTTTCTTGGCTTTGTACTGGCTATCTTCTAGCTCTATTCAGGTTTTAGGAGTTCCTTTCTAGCTCTGTCCCTGATCATTTTCAGAACCTGAAGGCTCTATACGGACTATCCTCTGGTTCTTTTCTGGATCCATCCACTATCTCGTCTCTGTCCAGTGAATTACACTTGTGTTACTGGAGCAGGTAAAGCATACAACAGATACTTTCAGCATTATCGGAGCACGAAGTGGAAGCTTGGATGAAACACAGCGGACTTCTAAACAATGAACACCCGCAACTTAGAAGAAATAAAGTTGGGTTTTATGTGTTCTAATATTGCAATGCAAACCCATGATGTAATGACAGTAATTAAGAATAGTTTAGTCATTGAATGCTCATTTCAGTAGATTTAATCAAACAAAACATGAACATATTGGACATGGCCTCAAGACTGTAACCTCTTCACATTCTGTTGAAATAGTAAATTACTAGCCATATCTTACACATTGCTGTTTTGAATCATTAATATGTGGATGACAGTTGAACTGGAAAATGTAACATGTGTGCCACCTGCTGGAAAAAAGACGTATCGCTCTTTTGGCGTCGTTTGGACAACAAAACAGAGTTAAACTCTCATTTCATAAACAATCTTTGAGTACAGACACCGTCCTGCAGAGAGCACACAACCCAACAGCACGTTTTTGGTCTAGCATCACTTTACAAAACGTTTGCATTAAGACACTAAGACTAGCTGGTCCATTGTAAAGGTCAGTCCACCTTAAATGAGCAGTGGGCTATCAGCAGGTGAAAGGCAGGACACGGGAACTTGGTCCTGAGGAGATGTAACGATTATTAAACAAGAAAGTTGTCGAGTCAAGGGGTCAAAGAAATGAACATTTGTGATTATTAACGAATCGGTTGCAGGTGGTTGAAATCAGGCTTAGGGAGTAACTAAAACCAAAACTAAGGAGCTCATTGTTGATTTCAGGAGGACAAAAAAAGGAAGTCCCCCTCCACAGAGAAGCAGTGGAGAGCGTGGAGGACCTACGGTTCCTTGGAGTCAACATCTCCAATCATTTAACTTGGACCTCAAACCTGGTGAAAAAGGCACAGCAGAGACTGTTTTTCCTGAGGAAACTGAGACAGGCCAGGCTTCCACAAAAACTGCTGGTAAACTTCTATCGGTCGACTATTGAAAGCACCCTGACCAGCTGCATAACTGTGTGGTACACCAGCTGCACAGCCGCAGAGTGGGACCTGCAACGGGTGGTGAAGGCTGCTCAGCGCATCGTTGGGACTGAGCTGCCCAACCTTGACAACATCTACAAAAGTCGACTGCAGAAGAAAGCCAGCAGTATCATCAGAGACATCACTCAGCCCGGCCACTCACTGTTCGAAACGCTGCCGTCCGGCAGACGGTTCAGGTTAATAAAATCACGCACCAACAGACTGAAGAACGGCTTCTTTCCCAGAGCTGTGGCCTCCATCACTTCCATCCCTGTCCAGCCACAAAACTCACTATAACTTTGAACATGCACACATACAAACACACTACCTCCCATCAAAGACTGCAGCCAAAAATATCATATTATTTATCTGTATATTTCTTAACTATCAAATTGTAGCTTTTCAAGTGGCAAGGGGCGTTATGTATGAATGCAGCATGAGTGCTCGAGTTGACTGCCTGAACCAGCTCGCAGGCTTCGCCCCATTAATCAGAAAATCAGTATGACAAAAACATTAAACATATTGTCCACTTATATTGATAAAGATAGAGTTTGTTTAAGTCTTATATGAATGCCGTGCAACAATGTTGATCCAGTCAGGCAGATTTTTTATCCTCAGTTTGAATTTCATTAAGCTTTGAGGACTGACAACCAACACACTTGTGTCTATTGAGACACATACGCCATTTAAATCTTTTGTCACAAACATTGCAGCTGTATATTTCCTCTCCTGTGTGGATTCTCATGTGTTCCTTTAAAATTCTACTCCGTGAAAAAGCCTTCTTACAGACTGAGCAGCTGTATATTTCCTCTCCTGTGTGGATTCTCATGTGTTCCTTTAAAATTCCACTCCGTGAAAAAGCCTTCTTACAGACTGAGCAGCTGTATGGTTTCTCTCCTGTGTGGATTCTCATGTGTTCCTTTAAACTTCCACTATGCGAAAAAGCTTTCTTACAGACTGAGCAGCTGTATGGTTTCACTCCTGTGTGGATTCTCATGTGTCTATCTAAAGTTCCACTCAATGCAAAATATTTGGTACAAACTGAGCAGCTAAAGGGTTTCTCTCCTGTGTGGACTCTCATGTGTCTTTTTAAACTTCCACTCTGGGAAAAATGTTTCTTACAGACTGAACAGCTGACTGGTTTCTCTCCTGTGTGGATTCTCATGTGTAGCTTTAACTCTATATTCTGTGAAAAAGCTTTCTTACAGACTGAGCAGCTGAATGGTTTCTTTTCAGCACTCCGTTGTGGATCACTGACAGATTCATGTCTATTTTTCAGTAAGTTTGAGCCTGATGCAGGTTCTCTGGTCTCCTTCCAATCAGCACTGTCTTCAGTGTCAGATTCAGAAGAGTCTCCAGTGTCAGGTTCAGAAGAGTCTCCAGTGTCGTCCTCAGTCTTTGGTTGTAAACTGCTCTCTGGATCTGAGTTCCTGGCTGGTTCTAGTCCTCGACAGTCATCTCCATCAGCTTCTGTTTCCATGTGTTCAGTTTGTCTTTGATGAGGCTGTGAGGACTGAGGTTTCTCTTTATCATCTGCACTCTTCACAGGGTCAGGAGTGAAAGTGGACTTGGTGATATCAGCCTCCTCCAGCTCCCAAAGCTGCTCTCCCTCCTGACTGATCCTGAGTCCCTCCTGTTCCTGCTTAATGTGTGTGGGGGGCTCTGCGTCCTCCTGGTCCAGACTGGTGCTCCATTCCTGCTGGTCAGGGGGAACCTCTTCTTTAACCACCACCAGCTGCTGGACGTCTGCAGGAAACAGGAAACACAGTCAGAAAAAACTGTAAGTGTTAGCATTTAAAAATCTAATCACCATTCAAACGGGAGACATTTTTCAGCCCTAATAATGCCTTTATTTTTATACTTTAATATTATCTTTCTTAGTCCCACTTATTGTGTATTTTTGGTGGCTCAATTCACCTCACGTAGCACAGCCTCATTCCACTTCCAGTTAAAAATGAAAAGGGGTTATTTATTCTGGTTTAGCACTAGCTGCAATGTAAACAATGAATTGTATTTGGGATTGTTCACAGCTACACTACGCCTATAGAAAGGTAATACTAAAAATATATTGTAGGGCCATACCTATACAAAACATGACTGAAGTTGTTTGCTTAAAATACCAAACAGCTCACCCATTGTAGCCATGCCTCATACCCCTCTATTCCAGCCCTGTTCCAAAAAGGTTGATTCTGTGACCATAGCTTTAAATGGAACAGCTGCTGCTAGCCACGCCCCTTTGTAGCATCATGCAGCTTTCCTCTGCTAAGAGAAACTCAGCTAAACGCTGTCGTGATTTAATGCCATATTATGTTCCAAATCACTTCAAGCATTATGTCTCCTGCAGACATCATGCTGAATACACAGACACACAGCTGCGAGAGGGGATTCAGCTAGACCAGTGGTTCCCAACCTGGGGGCACAGTGCTATTGCAGGGGGGGGGGGGGGGGGAAAGAAGTTGTAAATAAACATTGTTTGCTCGTAAAATCAATAACATTGACACAGTTTTAACCAAGCGGCAAACTCTGGGGAAGAGCAGGGAAGCCAATACGGAAGTGCCACACACTGCAGTTCATATATTGGCCGATAGGCGATGGCTGCAGAAAGGAGCAATTTCCATAGAGCCCCATGTTAAAATGCCCAATTTTACAGCAGAAAAAAACATGTTTCTACCCCTGGCTCCATACATTTTTATTATCGATATAGTTAGATTCCACCTTCATGATTATGGATCTGTGAGTGAATTGTTTTCTAATACGACCCTTTTATTTATATTAGGTATTAAAGTTTTTGCATAAATCAGGGCGTGGTCACTTTGATGGACAGGCACGTGCCTCACTGTCAGCTAACAGCAACTTGTCCACTCTGCTAGGCTACAACCATAGAGGCTACAACGTTAGTTAGTCGTAGTTACTGTACTTGACCCTTTAGCTTTAGCCGTGATTGTGGGAATATTGTTACAAATACCAGACAATTAAAATGTCGTGCTGTGCGCTTGAATGTACTAACAGATCTTCCAAGAAGTCTACTCTCAGCTTTTTTCGGTGAGTAAAATGATAATATTATACATGTTAACCCCGTTAGCAGGTGTTTGTGTGCTTGTTCGCTTAGCTTGTTGTGTAGCTTATTAGCCAGCTAAGGACGTAACCCTTTATACATGTGTATATATATATATATATATATATATATATATATACAGTTTAGTTTATGATTCAGCCTTGGGTAAGACTTTTATAGTCTATGGCTATGACGCCCATAATGATAAATGGGAGTTAAAAGGGGACCCAATTATCCCAGTGGTGGCCGCCGGAGTCCGCCGCCGAAGCTAACCGGAGCCGTAGCTAGCCCTTTGCGGCTCCGTTAGCTTCGGCCAGCGGCGGAGCCCGGCGTTATAACTGGAGATCAAGGAATGCAGCGAAACGCGGAATTGGTTCGCCTGCAGCCTTCTATAGTATTAGCTAAAGAAATGATGTTGAACAAGGCTTATTAAGCTGAACATCGCCACAATTGTTCTGCTATGTATCGGTACTTATTTTATTTTCTTAACGTGTGAATGACAAGCATTAAGAATAACACCAAATAGCTATTTATCTTGCATATTGTCTCGTTTGATTATGAATGTAACGTTTATATAGTGGAACTACACTGTTTTATCAAAACCAAAGTGCCACGCAGTAACTTGGTAGGCCCATGCATGTATTTCAGCAGGAAATGTGCAACCTAGATTACATTTACCAACACAGACTATATAGAAATATTGGTAACAGTTGTTCATGCTTAATTAAGTGAATATGGCATTAACCCTCCTGTTGGTCGGTTTTCATGTATTTTTGAATAAAGGTTTCCTTTAGGTGATCCAGACAGGCTGGACCAGTGGGTGCTGAACATCCGCAGGAATAAATGGACCCCCAACGTTTCTTCTCGCCTGTGCAGTGAACACTTTGAGAGTCATCACTTCAGCACGGACTCATGGGTACAGATCCTTTTTTTTTTAAATAACTTGGTTCCATTTGTGAGTGTAAATTGTTGTTACTAATTAAATACATGTTATACATCATACAATGCTAAATAATTGTTATGACACAGCTTGCACATCAGTGATGAGTAATGTTCTTTTGATTAAAGGCCAAATTAAGATTTTTCCAGTTAAGTATAGAAACATAGAAATCGAATATTTTTGCAAACCATCACATTTCTCTTCAATTTATGCAAATACTCTTTATCATAGATAGAGAATGGCCATTTTCCCCCACATACTCTATGTTAAAAACAGATGAATTATATTACCTTTTTTTACATTATTTTAATAGCAACATTCATTCATCTGTTGTCATCTTATAACTTATTTATCTTAACAGCTATCACAGTAAAAAAAAAAAGGATTTAATTTAATTTTACTATACAATATTTATCTTTACATTCTGTTCTTGCATATGTCTTATTATATTTACGTGTATATAGATTTCTGCCTGCACTAATTTATTATTCTTAATTTAATTTTGAATTTATTTTATTGTTTTATGTCCTATATAACTATGTTGCATTGTTGGAGGAGCTCGGGACAGATGATTTTCATTGCCATTCCTACACTGTAGCCTATGTGCATATGACATAAATCCTTTGAATCTGAATCTTGGAAACATGTAATTGTTGAATGGATTAACTGCATAGTTAACATGTTGGCCCTCTATTGTCTTTTATAATGCACTCTTAAATTTAAAACAGCATTATTCAAAAGAAAGTTGAATATCTACAGACCTCAAAAAGTTATTTTATGTGTTTTTGTTTATTATTTTTATTAGGGAAGGAGATGCCTGAAAAACACTGCAGTGCCCACCATTTTCTATTTCACCAATGGCAAAGAACAACAGCCTAGAAGGAAAAGCAGGGTGAGTAACAATGACGAGGTAAGTGACAGTCCTAGTTCGACTGTTAACAGCAATGAGGAGGTTGCAGATGTAGACCATGGTAGTGGTGAAAACAGTCTTGCTGCTGATCAGAGCAATATCATTATGATACAAGACACACCTGAAGAAGCCTTTGTTGTTCCACATGTGGAGCATAATGACATTCCAACAGTCAATGCTTGTGAGGATGTTGGTTTGGGTAGCAGCAGCCAACAAACAAAACAAATTGGAAAGCAGGCAGACTCCGCCTCTGTTCACTCTTACACTTGGGCTTTAAACTAAGACGGGTCATACTGAATAGTTTGTGCACACATTTTTAACATGTGATCTTTCTTTCATGTAGGACGCTTGAGGGAAGTTGCAACGCCTCGGCCAATGTGATGTCTTCTCCACGTGAAAGAGATTGAAGGCATAATTTATAACTTGAGACAATTTTCCAAAAGTTATGACTTTTATTGGCTTAGGCCAGGGGTACTCAAATACAAATCTTAAAGGTCCAAAATAAATGTTTCAATAAGACAAAGGTCCGTTTATTACGGTCATTCAAACTTTTAAACAATTGCAACAAGATTCTTTAACACGAGGTTGCAAAAACAAAAATAATCTGTATGCAGCCGTTTTCATTGTTATTGTGTCTGTGCTTGACCCCTCAGAGTCGCAGTGTAAGAGCTGCACAGTTATGAATAAAGGCAGCTGCACCCTCTTTCATTCAGCATTCCCATTATTGCTTTATAAATGTCTTGCCCCCTTGTGTGTCCACTGAGGTTCGTCAGGCCCAACACATCTTCAACAAACTCCCCCTTTGCCTCATCATAAAAACCCACAAACACCAGCAACTGAGCATTGTCAGTGGTGTCAGTGGACTCACCCACAGCTAAGGAAATGCACTGTGCATTTTTTATTCCATCACAAAGCTGATGAATCAAATCACCAGCCAGTATTTATGTTCTTCTGGTTGCTGTGCAATCTGAGAGGGGCTTGATTTGACCTGTTATTTCCTCTTTTTGTTTGCCTTCAACATGGTCTCCATCACTTCAGTCATACATTCTTTTATACTGCAGTTATTATCCAGTGGAAGGTCCTTACCTACTGGCCTAGTTCAATCAAAGTGGTTACTTTTTTTTGGCTGGGCAGTGTAGTTTTACACACCGTCTGATTTGACTTTCTCAGGACTTAAAACAGTTTTTTGGGGGCAGACCCCCTCAAAGAAAAAAATATATTTACATACGTAAGGTCATCATCTTAATAGTTGTGTATGCTCATCCGTGAGCAGAGCATCAAGTTCACACGTCTATTACAGCTGAATGCGGCGATTACCATTTTGTTCAGCAAAACGCCTCACAAACGTATTAAGATCAACAGCTTCAGTGCGTTTTGATTCAATGCTGAGTACAGCCAAACTGACAGTCTCTTCTCTGTCATTGTAGACCGCAAATACCTCATTCCTTCAGTGCTTGGGTCCGAATGCTTCTCGTTTTGCGCCGTCCAGTTCAAAATGAAATCGCCGCCAATCGTATGTCCACGCTCGCGCCAGGACCGGGGGAGGGGTTACATGACGTGCATCTTGTGCTGCATTCACTTGCACTCGGACATTAGAGACTTTCTCTCATAAATGTCCGATGAGCCACAACTTTTCTTTCAAAACAAAGCTGCCAACTGGGGTGGCAGCTGGGGTGGCAAGGCCTATTTTTAGGGTGTCAGTTGCCACCCCAGTAGGTGAAACTAGGCTACTAGCTACAGTACAGATGGAACTAGATGAGCTGTTAACTCTCGCTCTGAATTTTTTTTTTTTAATTCTCGCTCTGACTTAGACAGGTTGAAAGAGACACACACATTTTCCC